AGTGTGCAGCTCTTATAAGCAATCTAATTGCAAATACTCAAACCAATCAGTATAATAATCGATAATCTGTGGCGTCAATGCAATTATTTCTTTCTCCTAGAGAGGGAAATGAATTGAGCAGCACGTGCGTAGATGCTCGAACAAGTTTCACCTCCATTTCAAAGGCTTAACTTTATTAACAAAAATGGGAGTTTTCAAAGCAAGGAGATTTTCGTTCCGCTAAACATGAATTTAAACGCCTCAAAATTTTAAGAAACACGAAGTTAGACTCATCATGCATCGCGTGAATTCAGACTCCGTGTTAAACTATAGTCAGTGACATAATGAAAACGGCAGGGCGTGCCTTTCGAACACCCGGCTTCCAGCATGCGCTCCATGCCTTCCGCCGTGCCTTGGCTACGAGCGCGAGTGCTCGAGGTGCACGAGATGTCGAAGCATTGCCGAAGGTAGGAAGCTCGCGCTGGATGCTGGACAACTGAAGCTCTTTGCTGCCGTTCTCACCTTATCGGTGACAATATCTCTTCCTCTCTATATCTATCTACCTATCTCTCTATCTATCTCTCTCTCTCTCTCTCTCTCTCTCTCTCTCTATATATATATATATATATATATATAAGATTTTAGGAACGGCTCACCTCAAATATACTGACGTTATCTTCAGTCTGTAAAGTACAGGTATATCGACATGGATCGTGAAGGGGATCAGCAGTAAGGTGGCCACGGACGCCGTCCATCCCAAGTGAGGGCCGTAAGCGTAGTAGTGGGCAGTGAACGCGATGATTCCCGTAGACGACACGACGGAGGCCAGGGAGGACAGGGCCAACGGAACCATCAGTAATGTCCGGCTACCGAGGAACATTTCTTCGATGTTCAAGTGGCCTGTCCTCTTGAAGGCAAAGCCTAGACCTATGCCAATAACGGTGACGGTGAAGAACGCGAACACCGCAAACTCGACAGGGTGCGTCATTGGCCTTGACACGCTGACTGCGGAGTCGGTCTCGAAAGAGGTCTGCACCAACTCTAACGCGTGAGGTCCGGAGTACTTTACCCTGCACTCCTCCTCCACCCCACTCCCATTCCCGCTCCTTTCTCCCGGGCGCAGGTGTTGGCTTGCTTTATTTTATAAATATATCTGTACGTCTTTTTCTACGTTGGGGATCTGACGTCACACAGCTGTCGTGGTGCTGCCGTTGGCATGCACATAATAATAATAATAATAATAATAATAACCTTCATTTGGACTTCTTGAGTCACGGGTGAGTGGGCAAAAGGTTAACAGACTTTACCTGACAAGGCCGCCCCCACCGTTATACATCGCACAGCAGAAAAAAAAAAGAAAATGGTAATAACACAAACAGACCAACGAGTTGCAAGCATAGAAACATTTGATTAACATATGCACATTAAACAGGAAAACATGTTTTACAATCAAGGTTCCACTTGAATACACAGAAATATAACAGATGGCGTATGGCTAGACGCTTCTCACAAAACTACAAATACAAATACAGAATACAAAATACATATCATTCATACATACATGCACTCATACACAAATATTAAACTATTTAGAGGCGTCCAAAAGGTAGTGTTTGATGGTCTTCTTAAATCTAGGTAATGAAGTAGGAGATTTTAATAGTTCAACCACTCAGGGGTGTCCATTTAAGATTTCTGATATTTTGTAGGCTAATGCTTGCGAGCCATAGTTTGTCCGTATTTTGGGTTTTATGTAAGTTTCATTCCGCAGATCATATTTTGTTGTCTTGGTATGATAAGTTTCACAAAATTTATTTTGTTCATTGTTGTAGTAATAATATATTTCCATGGCTAGCTTTAGCGTATACAGCATTTTTACATGCAGAGACTCCTCACTTCACGCGAATCTGATTTCTGCGCAAACGCTGTGCCCGCGCCTGGTGTGGGTCAAACTCAAAACCTCGCGATATTGATGTGGCACCAAGTCTTGATGGCCTCATAAACTAATAAAATACTGTGAAGGTATCTCTTGTGGCTATATTAAATGATTCAGTGTTCATAACCTAGCGCCTTCATCGCCTTTCGCCTGTGTCTGAAATAAAAGATACATACATACATACATACATGTCTGGACATGGGACCTGATCATTGAGATATTCAGTTTGGAACTTGCAGCTGCTGGGGGAGGGGGGGGGGGGACATGTCAACTAACAACTGGATCTATATGCAGTAGCGTTCCATACCGTCGACCAGTAACAATCTGTTTTGACTCTTTGCACGTTGTAAGTAATGATCAGGTTCCTTAGGACACAGAAATTCGTAGGGAAAGCGTTCCTGATATTACTACATTTGTAATTCTGGGATGTAATTCTACTCGTAGTCCATACCCTCTATACTCCACAGCCGGCGCTACATACACATGGCACCAATCAAACGGCGTCAAAAACTCAACGCCATGGCGTTTGTCATCGTTCTCAACGCGTTCCCTTATTTTCGAACCTAATATAGAACATCAAATGCCCGGTGACTTGCGCTTTTAAAATGTTGGTGTTTGTATATGTTCGATCCCTCGACTGCGCAGCTCGGACTGGTGACGTCGGGGACAAGGGGATCCAGGCTAGGTTAATGTCACGATGGGTGACAAGGCAGGATGAATAAACTGAGAAAACTAAAGGGTCAATGACCTGAGCTTGTGTTAAAACAAAATACACACAAACATACCATAGAACAAAATAAAGAATATAGCCTGATTCACAGATATACGTAGATCTATCAACGTCAGAGCGATGAATCAACGCAAGCGCAGAAGCAGCGCTGACCTAAACGTTACGTAGCACCGAAGCAGCGAAGCATGACTAATATGGACACCCTGCAGATCTGACTCAGAGCCGATACGCGCGCCTCTCGCGGCGGCGTCGCGCGTACTCCTCGGGAAGCGTCCTCAGCAGTCGCGCTCGACTGCAGGGGCACATTGGTGGGTGTTGCAAGGTCGACATGCCTGCTTGGGCTACCATATTGGCGGAAGCGCTGGAGCAATGGTAGCGGCGGCGGAGCTCTACAGCTCTCCCTACGCTGACTCAGAAGTGGCCGCGCGTGGCGCTGTTCGCTGGGCGATTGGTAGCGGCTCCTAGCGGACACAGTGTGCTCATTGTGTGAAGTGAGTGCTCCACCAGCAAGTTTAGCGCTCTAATATAGCGTCGAGATATACCGCCGCGGTGTATGTCTGAAAATGCCACAAGACCACGCCAAGCCGTTCTCATCCGGCCTACGACTCTTGTCTGCGCGTTCCCGTGCGGTCAGGGGCTGCTCTCACACGCGCCCTATATTAACCCCACAGCACCCAGCGTATCATATTTGCTACGCCGATTTCGAAACCTAAAATCTCAGATTCGTGTACATTTGGATGAATGGAAAACCCATAGTATCACTTTTGATACAGTAAAAGGAATTTTCACGTGTGTCTAGTTCGAAAAAGCGCCGCTTGGTGTCTTCTGGACGCTTTTGAAAAATGGCCGATTCGGGCGGCGAGCGGGCAGGCATCCCGACGAGATCTTTCTACGCAAAAAATGGTGAGTGGATGTCTTTCTTACCAAACGACTGCATCAACGTTATTCTACATTAGTGGTGGGATCAGAGGATATGATAACTGGTCACATCTCGACTCTATAGGCTGGCTGATAGTGCGTCAATTTTGAGCGTAGCGTTTTTGATACAGTGGGCGCCATTTGAGGCTATATATTTTTATCAGTTACTCTATGATTGTATTGTTAGTCTCAAATTCGTGTCATACTCCTTAGTACAGAGGCCTAATTCCGCTTTGCTTTTTTTTAGATATCACAGCGAGGGACATTCTGGAGCGTGTCGTCACTGGTGAAGACGTGAGTGACTTTAGCGATCTCTTCGAAAGTGAAGACGAAGACTGGAACCCCCCCGACTGTGCGGAAACCGAAGACGAAGATTGGGACCTTCCTCAGACTGCAGGTCACGAGGACGGAAATGACGAGGAAGAAGAGCTGGAAGACTACTGCGGCTCATCCATGGCATCGTCCTCCCTGTTATGATCGGCCACCCAGAGGGCAGGTTCGGCTTCCTGGCAGCGCCATCGACCACCCATCGAGTGACCAGAGACTCGGGCTCGGCATTCTGGCGCCGCCGAACATGCCGACCGACGCGGCGTGGGTGGGGTGCGGCTTCCGGGCGACACCGAGCGGGCCACCCGGCACAGCGGGAGCTGACCCCCCTGACACCCCGCTGAGAAACGGGGGCCCGCTTCCTCGGCCTTCGGACCGGGTGCTAATGAACGACGTAGACAAGTGGAGACGTTTGGGTCTCGACGTGTGATCGGGAGAGCTGCCTGTTCCCGCGATCTTCTGGGAGACGGGACGAGAGGGATGCTTGTACCGGGGTGTGACCACGTGGGAGGTCCGCGTCCCGGGAGACCTGCAGAGACGTCCCGTGGTGACGAAAGTGCCCTTTCCCCTCGCGGGACCTTGGACAGGGACCCCCTCGCCACTTCAAGCCTCAAGGAGGCTGCATTGGCCGGTGCTCGGACTCGTCAAGAGTCTTCCCTTCTCAGACGCCAAAGCTGAAAGATGACGATGTAAATATTCCTGTATATAAACGTCTTCTCCTCTCAGTGAACGCTCCTCAGTATCTTCGAAGTCCACGACGCTTGGAAGTGGGAGCATGCTCGGCCCGGAATCGTAACATCCCTTCCCGGAAACAAATGGAAAAAAGATCTGCTCCAGGTACCTCACCCAGATTTTTCAAGAACATTCAGTGAGCCGGACGATTTGGAATCTCCTATCACGCTCTTCAGGAAGTTCCTCGCAAACGACACGCTAAAGAGGTTAGTCGAGCACACAAACCTCTACAGCACGCAGAAGTACGGAAGTTCGGTCAATACCACTGCTTTGGAACTTGAGCAGTATATTGGTATGTACCTACAAATGGGACTGGTGAAAATGCCCAACGTCAGGTCCTATTGGGAGCAGGGCACAGGGTACTCACCTATTGCAGATACAATGTCTCGTAACCGTTTCTTGAGACTTATGAAGTGCCTCCACGTTGTTAATAACCTGGAAGTTACAGAAGAAGAGAAGAAGGACAAGCTGTGGAAGCTTCGACCCTGGATTTTGGGACTGCAACGCAATCTTGCAAGCATCGAACAAGAGGAATTTAATGCGGTTGATGAAATCATGGTCGCATTTACAGGGAGGAGCTTTCTAAAACAATACATTCCCAACAAGCCGACACCATGGGGGTTCAAGCTATGGGGACGAGCTGGTACGACTGGCATTCTTTACCAGTTTGAAGTTTACCAGGGACAGTCCAATCAAGAATACAGATATGGGCTTGGAGGCGACACTGTCCTTAGCATGTGCAATGAAGTGCCATCCGATGAAGGTTTCAAAGTTGCAGCTGACAACTTTTTTAGCAGCTTGGATCTTGTGGAAGAGCTCACTGGAAGAGGCATCCAATTTGTTGGAACGTTGCGCCAAAACAGACTCGGAGATTGCAAGCTTTTGGATGAAAAAACTTTGAAAAAGCTTGGCCAAGGCGCACATGACCATAGAGTGGATAATGCGAAAGGCCTTGCTGTTGTTCGTTGGTTTGACAGAAAAGCCGTGACACTTGTGTCAAACTTTGTGTCGGTAGAGCCAGTAGGACATGTAAAAAGGTATGACCGTAAAGCCAAGGTGCACATTGATGTCCCCCGGCCGGATATCGTGGCTGTTTACAACAGTTTCATGGGAGGTATTGACCAGCACAACTACCAAGTATCCCTGTACAAGTACACCATCAGGTCTAGGCGCTGGTATTTATACATATTTTACCACACCATCTACATCTGTGTTGTGAATGGATGGAATATCCACTGGCGCCAATGTGCACAGCTTAACACAAAGCCAATGAAGCTAAGAACATTCATTGCAATGTTGTCGGAAAGCTTGATGCTGTCAGGGAAAGCTCCAAGGGGACGGCCGGCGTGCTTGCCATCACCTCCAGCGAAGAAAAGGAAAGTTACGCCAAAAGAGCTGCAAAACGACATCCGAAAGGATGGTGTTGGGCACCTACCACTTGTCACCAGCAACAGGCTACGATGCAAGAACTGTGTACCAAGCGCAAACAGATTCAGCTCCATCATCTGTGCAAAGTGTGAAATCACCCTGTGCGTCAACAAGGACAGAAACTGCTTCTATGAGTACCACAAGCCACGAGCCTATGGCTGTGCACTTATGCCTGAAGAGAGCCCACTGTATCATATGTGATACGCTGAATATTTTATTAATTGGAAGGTATTGTATTACGATTTCAGCATGAATATAGTCTGTTCGAGGTTAGAAGGCAATAAACATGTTCTCGTGTTTTTTTTTTCAAAGTCCTTGTGCTAGTGGGCTTTACAGGGTTAAGGAAAGCTCTAAGCGAGAGCAGACAACAACGCGAATGGACCAGAAGTTTCCAGAAGGGCAACGTCGGGCCTCCGGGCGTGGGAGCCGGTGCATTGCCACCGCGGCCACTTGCACGCGGCTGCAGACTAAATTCGGCGGGGCTATCAGGCCTACAACATATTGCCGCGCGCAGGGCTGAGAAAGCAACGCTCGATCACGAACCTCTAGAAAGTTCTCGTTTATTCTTGTTCCAGACGTAACATCTATCGTTTATCCCTGCTTTTGTTGTTCCAGAAAGTGCGTGTTCATTCTCGCCCCGAGCGCGCTACGCTCGAACCTTCTCCGCCGAATCTTCGAGATAGTGACTCACCTTAGATAAAAGGCCACCCGCGACCTTATCGAGTCAGTTTCGCCCCAGCCTTCGACTCTGCTGCTGCGCCGACTTCGACGCCCGCGACGCTCTGTTATTATCTTTTGTACCTTTTTATTTTTGGCAGAAGTTCGCCACATTAAACGTTTATTTATTCCTGTTTATTTCTTGTTTATTGGTCACCACCCGTGACAATATCCCCCTAGCCACTTGGGCTTCCGAACGCAGCCACCGTTTTTACCCTTGTCGACTGATGCCAGACACTTTCCTTTGTGCTGATTCGGGAGCAAACAATAGCTTGCACGTTCAGCGTACGTTGCTCGAATTTGAAACTCAGTATGTTTAATCAATGCTAAGAGTAATTCGCTTTATGAAATGTCTCGGCTTTACATGACTTTTCAATTTGAAAAGCTGAGCTCAGGTGTACTCCATGGATCGGCATTCACTACAGTCTTGCGAAATCCAGCTGCAGCGCAGGAAACGTACGTACATGAACAGAGACATAAAAGCGCAGTAAACACCTATAGCGCCGTGAAAAATGCCAGGTGTTTCGAGCACAACATGTACGAGCTTTCCCCTTTTCTGTTCTTCTTTTACCTCCGATAAGTTGAATAAAACAGAAAACGATAAGTGTGATAAAAAAAGTTTTAATATACACATTGTGTTTTTTCATTTTTATTTTTGTAATTGCATTTGATGTCGTCATCTTGTTCTTAGAGCATAAAAAAATAGGAGGTTGTTCTTTGGGCATAGAAGGAGAAGACAATACGAACCATGAGTTGTGAGTCAGCGCCGAGTGAGTATATTTTTTTGTGTCTGTCTGTGAGTGTTTCTCTTGTCGTGCGGGGGCTGTAACGTTAATCAGCATGAACTACCAACTCGCCCAGTCAGCAGTCTATCAGCTTTTGGCCGCTTCTATACTCCGCGACAACTTTTCTTGGCAATGCAGCGGAAGGTACAGGCCCGCGTCTTCTCTCCCATTTTAAATGTGCGCGGGCTCTCCTCTCTCCCCGAAAATGGGGGAGGAGGAGAGCCTGCGTACACTCAAATTGGGAGAGGGGACGCCGGCCTGTACCTTCCACTGCATTGCCAAGAAAAGTTGTCGCGATCCTTCGCGTTTCATCCTCCCACTCCTCCCAGAAAACATATTCGCAACTCCAGCGCGCCGCTCGCCCTCCCGCGGACGAACGGAGAACCAGAGGAGCGGGGACGGCAGCGGCGGCGGCGGCGCGGAAACGGTGGCAGGGACTGTCGGCCTTGATGCGTGAAACCGTTGTAACGAAAAAAGTGAGCGCGTTAAAAAAGGAATTCTTGTGCTCCGCCTTGCAACAGTCTTGCACGAAGGACCGGGATGTGTAACTTTTTCGGTCGGGACTTTTCGTGTATAGCATAAGCTGCGGAATTCTGGTCTTGTGCATGACTGCCTGCTCAATCTGTGCTCAACGTGACGGAAAACGCTCCCACTAATAATGAAGAACTCTATAGTACGGTTTACGGAAGGTCTATTCTTTGCCATAAGTAGGAGAAAACTCGTCGCGCAACGGTATGTCAAGCAATACAAATCGGGAATGGGTTCGCGTTTTAAGGCCGTAGGAACATGACCATTTATTCCAACACTTTAAAAAGACAGAATGCCCGTACTTGCTTTCAGGATATTACAAAGCAAAAAGGGAAATGATCGAAGCATTTTGAGCGCGTCTGTGTTAGCCAGCCGTTCGTGACGAGAGCTTAGAACGCGCAGTTTTGGCCAGAGGGACCACAATGTTGCAAATAACACGGTACAAAAAATGTACGGTATATTAAAATATTTATTTTTCATAGAGCAATAAATCAAACTCCTAAACAAGCCGATTATGTTAATAGGCAGTTTTTGCGTACCGCACGGCACCCCTAAAGGGGTATTCACACGGGGGAGAAATCCCGGGGATTCGGCACGCGCGCATCACGAGATGAAAACGCGAGGCTTTTGCACATCGCAAAGCCTGACGTTTTCGTCGTGGGGTGCGCGTGCCGGGGAGAAATCCCCGGGATTTCTCCCTCGTGTGAATACCCCTTAAACTTCAGTTGAACGTACAGCGCACTGACGTTCAACCGGCGCTACCAACTTTCACGAGCGGCTTGATAGCCGAGTTGTGCAACTTATTAAAATAGCTTAAGTAAGTGTAAAGGACTGTAAAAAAAAAAAAAAAAAATCGGGGTTTTCTGGGCTTTACTGCAAAACCTTGGCTTTTTTTTTTTTTCCGGTACTCTTTGATGCGTACTTTAGCTGTTTAATATCTTATATTGCGCCGTCATCAAGCCTCTCCTAAAAGTTGGGGCCGTCAGTTTGACGCCAGTGGGCTGCACGGCGAACTGAAGTTTTGGAGTGTCGTATATGTGACTGTCACAGGCTCGTCCGGGGTTGGTAATAAAAGGGTCGGGAGACAGAGAGTTAGAAAAAAAAACATAAAAACAGGGCATATATTTGCACACACAAAAGAAATATGAGTATGGAAGGAAAAAAATTTAATAAGACTATAAGTAAAGTCACAAGAAAGAAATAAGCAGTTCGAACTACGGGGCTATCGTCCTAGAGATTCACCGGCATATGTCGTGACGAGGCTCGGTTCCTGGCTTCTGTAGCAGCTCAGTCCAGGGACGGTGTTGAGGTGGCATAGATGCTCATGCCTCCGCTGTTCCCTTCACACCGTGCGTATATATATAGCGGCGGGTTCTGGTTCATGTCGTCGATACCGGGACACAGCCGGTCAGATCCTTCAAGCAGCTGCCGAACGTCGCGGCTCGTGCTCTTCACGCACCTTTTTCCGCACCCTTCACTTCGTCCTTCACGTTCTTCCTTCCACAAAACCATGACAGTGACAAAGGATGTAAAAACTACAACATCTTTTTTTTAGAGTGATGTGCACGGCAACGCTTCTGGAGCGCACTGAAAATTGTGCTTCAAAGGCGCAGCGCGAGCTTGCGGTTGTAATGCTACACCGCACAGTAGCCTGTGGTAGCAAACGTTCTATCAATGCCCATAAAGCAGTTTGATTGCGTGTGGCAATACACTAAAACCGAGACGGTGAGCAGCGAGTTGTGAGGCTGGGACGCGACCAATGCTGTGAACGCTGCTCTTCCGAAGCTTGACGGTCACCGTTCGCGGCTCTATTTTTAGAGAACTAAGTTCCAAGCAAAGCGAAAACATATCTTCATCACCCTGAAAAAAATTCTGCCACTAGCAGTAACGTGGCCGGTGCCTAAAACGCGCTTGCTCACCACAAAGCTTCGCAGTTTGAGGTTTCTGCAACTTTTAATTAACAGCATGCTAGTTTTCCTAACGTGCATCCACATCTCCGTCACCTGTAATATGATCCCTCCCTAACCGCTTCGCATTTGTAGACAAATAAATGATTTTTAGCGCGCTGAAGAGCGCCAGCGAGCAGGCGCACGGGATATCCTGAAGAATCTATCCCCGTCTCTACCGCCATCTTGGAACTACCGTCCCGCCACCTATAGGGCGTTGGAGTTGCGGGTACTTCGAGGTGACGAAGCTTCTCCGAGTCCGCCCCTCCTTCATCCTAGCTCGCCTACACCCGGCACGGGCTCACATACACACACACGCGTGTTTGGTCCCCCAGTTTGGCTAATGGTTCCTGGAATACGTCCGTTCTGATCTTGAAACATCCAGCGAAGGTCAGGACCCGTTCGTCCGGTTGTCCGGAAGTCGTCGCACGCGCTGTTAAACACCAAACTGCGCCTTGCTGTCGAAGTGCGGCTTCTATGTCCCCCTTCTTCTCGCGCCGGGGGGACGCCCGAGTATGCTTAAGCCGGTTCGGAGCTTAATAATCTGGATTTATTGGTATTTACCGAAAACATCGTACCTATACATATAGTCATGAATGGCAGGAGCAGAAGCGGCGAAAATCCCGTCTCAAACTGAAAATTTAATGGGGAAGCTTGTGCCAAACAAAATAAACGTGACGTCGCAAAGGAAGGCCATCGGCGCCCCCGATGGCCTTCCTTTGCGACGTCACGGGAAGAGCGCTACGGCCTTGTCTTCTAGGAGGTGTTGAGCGGGGCCAGATTGTACCAACGACGAACGGAGGAGCCACCCAAAAAGGCTGTCTGCCTCGGTCGGCCGTTGCCCAAGAACGCCACCAGCGAGCTGCCCGACAGGTGCCGCCAGCCCGCAACCTGCCCGAGAGCTGCTAGCCCTTGACCTGTTCATGACCGACGAAGGAATCCTCTCGAACCACCCCCGAGCTACCGGCCTGCGGACCACAAGGAGCCAACGAGCCACCCGATAACGACGCAGCCCGTCGACCTGTTGAACAGACCATCAGTAAGCGACCCGACGACGGCGACCATTCCAGCCAGTAGTATTCAAATATTAAAAGTATTTGCCTGTCTCCTGCTTGCTCTCAACCGAGGGAGGAACCCCGTTACCTGAGTTTCGGATCAAAACTTTACAACAGCAACCGAGAGCGAGACAAGAGCACTGCACGAGCCGGAATTTCGAGGCAAGGCC